GTGACTGGATTGAATAGTGCTCTGGAACTGGACAGATTATTGGAAAAATATATTTATATATTTATATAACTTAAAAGGCTACTAAAAAACTGGAAATAGCAGCTTTTACATAACTCCTCTAGAAATATTTCAGTTAATTTGTTTTAGGAGATATTTTATTTTGAATTGTCTTAAAATATTCCCACCTGAGAAGTAGATTAAAATAAAATCAATACACTTGTGCGGTTCTCATCCTTATCTTTAACTCGATATTAAGAGATGCTGCGATTTCTGAAAATTAGAACACTCAGAATTTTAAAGGCTAATTAACTGGATTTGTTTTCTTCTCCACTCTCAAAATGAATGCTGCGGTTGTTTTTGGAATAATCGCTCTGGCTTTGCAACGGGCAGGTAAGAATTGAAATAATTTTTACTCCATTTATTTTTTCTTGTAGAGTGCGTAGAATAAAAGGTTCGAGGGAGGGACCACAAATATGCAAATGAATTAGCGCAGATGATATTTTAAGTTACAAAGTTTAAAAAATTTTCAGTTACAAATTTTGAAAAGGTCGTATTTTAAAAAAAAAATTGATTTCTCAGGAACTATTCGACCGATTTCAAACAAATTTTGTATTTTGCCGTTTTAAATTGAATTCTTTAAGATGATGCTTAAAATTTAAAATTTTGTCAGCTGTTATTAAAAACGAACATTAACATGTTGAATGCCATGGGGGTCACCGGTGACCGATACTGAGTTTGTTCGTAGCGCCACGGGGTCACCGGTGAAGCCAAGATTATGAGAAACACAGAATTCGAGTAAATTTTTAATGCTTTTTACATTATTATCGTTACTAAAATGGTTTGAAGAAATTAATGCAATGTAGAACACACAAAAATAGATTTATTTATATGCACAGAGATACCAACTTGCTCCGGACAGCGAATAAATATTTTCAAGTAGTAGTTTATAAATTGTGATTCTTGGTTTAATAAATTCAATTTAGTAGATTTTTATCAACCACTATTTCTAAACAATTCGTAGGCTTATATAATTCACCACTCATTTCAGATGAGTTATGCTAAACGTTTTTACGAAACTGGCAAGCTCTGTCTAAAATTTGCAAATTTAGCTTGTAGTTATTTACCGTGTGACCAGACTGGTAAGCCATGTAAAGTTAGCGTGGCATTCAACGTGTTAAGGGGTCCAGAATTTGGAATGCTTTCAGATTTCATAGACTGCAGCTATTCCTTATATTTTGGAGGTCAGAAATCTGAATCCGTCGAAAAAAAGGTATGTTTATTCAGAAAAAGTGCGTTCTTGTGTCATTTCTTAACTTAAAATATTGTCTGCACCATCTAATTAGCATATTTAAGATCATCCTCTCGCACCATTAGGATAGAGTTGCAGAACATGAGGAACCGATTATTAGATTAAAAGTTATTTATGATGACTCGTTTCTTTCTTCTTTTTTTGCGCTCTGTACATACACATGATGTGATGTCAACTTTTACACTTTTTACAACATATTTTATAAAATGGTAGAAAATTAAAAGCTAAAGCTAAGTGGCATTTTATGTGAACTTGTGAATCATTCACACGAAGAGGTGCGGAAAATAACTCTAAATCAAATTTACTAAAGTAAGAACGATACATAAAGTTATAAACTTTGCCACCACTGGAGGAAGTTTTCCAATAAATCTACACTGTAAAGTTGTGCTTTTTGTGGGCGATCTTTTAAGTAGTGCAAAAGTTTTGATTTATCATTTATTTATTGGCCTAGTAAATTTGTTTCAAAGTTATAAAGCAGCTAGTTTTGGATGTCTAGTTGATCCAGGGGTGAAAGCGAGACGGAAAAGAGGAATGACTGGTAGTAAAACCATTTCAGTTATAACTAATTTTCGGGAGGAGTTAACTTATTCTTTTTTAAACTATTCAACAATATCTACTTTATCTTTGGAAATTAAGAAGTTTCACATATAAACTAAAATTATAAAATAGGTAGTTACAGAAATTTAATTTTTCTCGAAAAAATGCTAAATTGAAGTGTTTTTCGTACCAGTTTTTGCACTTTTCCGTCTTGCAATATATGGGCTTTCAGCCATGAATTGATCTACAAGCAAAAAATCTGGTTAGAGCCACACTGGTCCCTTCAGACTTCCGAAGTATACAGCCATATTCAGTCTTTCTAGTGTTAATTTCATTATATAATAGTTAAAGTATAAAAACGCATTTATTTACTATAAACAGTGCACAAAATAAAAAACGTACCACCTTTACTAACTTTTGATCTAATGATCGGATTTTCACGTTCTAGGACTCATTCGTACTGGTTTAAAAAGGATGATCTTAAATATGCTAATTAATTAGTGCAGACGATAATTCAAATAAAACACACAAACGCAGAGGGTCTTAGGGTTCATTACTGTTGGGCTAACCGAGGCAAGTATTCGTGGTTTCTCTCTTCATGTAACACTGTAGGATAGTTCCATCAATAAGTTCTCCGTGATAGAAAGATTCGCTTAATGTTTGATCCAGGAGTTATCCTGTCTTTTGGGTTACGTATGAAATTTCAAGTTTAGAAAGTTAAACTTTAAGCGAAAATACGATATGATTCACCTCCTGCAGTAAAATAAAAAATAGTGTATTAAAAAAAAACGATTTGATTCAGAACTTTAATACTGATGTTTCAAAGTTTCTAGCTTATTTAAGTACTTTAAAAAAACTAATTGATTTAGCATTGAAAATCAATTACTTATCCGGTAACAGTATTTTACTTTTCACATATCCTTTCTTTTTCTATAGTTTACTAAATTTTAAAGTCTTAAAGATATATTGCAATTTTATAAAAATTACAGTAGAGTTAATACTAACAATACAACAATAATACAACAATAATTTTAATTTTTAACATAACTTTTCTATATCACGCTGGTTAATTTTTTGCAGTGACTGGATTGACTACTGAGTTTAATTAGTCCAAAAAAAACCACTTTATTTACTTAAGATTACAAAATAAAGCGTTTTGACATTACTGCATATAAAAATGCATTTAAACGCTAATATTCTTTTTAACATGTTACTGCTAATTACATTTAATTATGTGGCCCGCGTTTTGCTGAAAATATCAATAAGTATCAAGCTAATGGGGGAGGTCGGGCTACATACCTAAAGTTCGTGGAAATCAGGCACATTTACTTAATGATTAGTAAAATAATTAAAATTTTATCTGTCATGTTTCTATACACAATCTAATAATGCTGATTAAAAAATTAAAAGCAAAGAAAAACAAAAGCGATAAGTAAAAGATTTTTAATTTTGACAAAGGGAAACATAAGAATTCTCAACAATCTCAAATTCTTTTAATATTGATACTGAGCCGTAAAGGCTCAGGGGATAGAGCGTTCGCCTTCCAAGAAGGTGAACCGGGTTTGAATCCCAGTGATGGTGACTGGTGCACTTTAAATCTGCCGGGTAACAAAGTCATCCATGTTCCCATTACAAATTATACCTTTATGGGTACTGAATAGGAGATTGATCATTTTCTGGATCAGGTCAAAATTACGATCTGATAATCAATGAATGGATGTAGGAATGAGGTCCTATAAATATATCACCCTATAAATGGGTATGACGTATGGGTGCTGCAGAAGTGAAATTCTTGGCCATAGAGGGCATCACTGGAAGAAAAAAGAACAATCGCACCCCCTCAGCCTTAATGGCAGACGACAACAACAGCATTGGAAAATTCAAATGTTTTTTCTTTATTCATAAATTGCCATGACGTTTCATTTAAATGTTTTCAAATGTAGTGATTTAAAATACTTTTTGATTCGACAAGTTTTTTAATTGTTATTTTATGTTCATTGCTTGATTTATTTTGTAGATGCACAGCAGTCGATGACTTGCAACTTTGAGAGTGATACATGTGGATTCACAAATGAAGAAAATCACAGTGCTCAATGGGATAGAAAAGAATTGACATTAGGAGGGAAAAAAGGTTGCTTTATTTTACTTTTTTCACAGTTTGTCAATAGGAAGTTTTCTGCAAGTCTTTAAAAAATTATATTTATTTTGCTTTTATTCAATCTTTTATTCTATTTTGCTTTTATTATCAAAGATTCTTTTATATATTGAATTAAGGATAGGTTTAATTTAAAAAATAAATTAATAAATAAATTTCCTCCAGCTACTCATATTTTTTTTTAGACAATTATCTTTGATTAATCTATTCTTTTTCTTTTTAAAGATGAGTTTCTACTAATTAACTTAACTTTTTTTTTGAAAAATTATCTACACACCATGTTTTTTTCTAACTCCTTGCTTACTTCCATATATTGACTATGATCTCTTTAACAAATATTCTAACTCCACTTATTTTTTTAAAAAAAATAAGTGGAATTAGAAGATTTAGAAGAATCAAAACTTATTTTTTAAAAAAAATAAGTTTTGATTTTTTAGTAAAATAAAAAATAAAAAAAATAAGTGCCTACTAATTCCTTTTATTTATTTATTTTTTTAAAAATCAGATAACTAATTCCACATATCTAAAAACATGTCTCAACTAACTTACTCGATTTTGAAAATGCAGTTAGCTACTCTTTTAAGTTCATAAGTCACTTCTTTCTTATTTTGAGACTTGCATAACTTCAATTTATTTCTGCTGCCAAACAGAGTTCGCCAGAACATAGTGGAGTTAGAAAAATAGGGAAAAATACACTAAATAGACGTTAATTAAAAGCGCTGTTTTTTTAAAAAAATTTGTTCAACAGTTTAAATTTTTAAATTTGTTGAAATTAACAGTTTGTTAGACTGTAGTTGAGTTTTCAAAAAATCATAATTTCCTTATAATTCGTTTCCCCCCCCCTTTTTTTTTAAAGGAAAAAAAAACACATTATGAGCGGGTTACGTAAAAATTTGCTTCCAAAGACAAATATTTTTTAATTTTATGAAACTTCTTTCGTATAAACATAAACGGGAGATTTTTCATTTGTCTTTATATGGATTTATTTATAAAGTAATTTTTCTCCATTTACGTGAAATATAGCTACTATAACTTGTTTTAAAATTATTAATAAGTTTTTGAGTTATTTTAATTTTAAAACAATATGCATGTGTTGAATACTTGACTGTATGAACAAAACTAAGAAGAGCTTAACATTTCTATTTAAAGCTTAGCTTTTTAATTGAAGTAGAATATATCGATTATGCTTCATTAATTAGAAAGTTATTGTTTAGGAACATTTTAATTTTCGGAACTTAATTTATGAATAAGTTATGTTATATATCTTTCAAATCTCTGAATACACTTCATTGTTGTGAACCAAAAAAATACTCAGTTTTATAATAGTTATTTATAAAACATTGATACTGTTTTTGTGCCATCGAATATGAAAAATAAAAAATAACAATAACTGGAAGGGATTAAAAAAACATCGGTTTACATACCATACGACTGAAAAAGAAAAAAAATTCAAAAATCAAGTCCTTTTTTTCTTGAAGGGAAATAGAAATCAAATTGTTTCTCTTCTAAGAAGAAAGAACCTCTCCCCTCTTCTCTTTCACACGGCAGCGAAGCCAAGAATCACACCCGCTCTCAGAAAAAAATCATTAAACAGGAAAGCGGGTCATAAAACGCTTTGATTGGAAAAAAATTTAATTCAAAAATCACGAACCGGTGAACGAGTCACGTGATTGGATTGCTGGTTTCCGCATGTAATGCATCGTGAGTAGTCTATCTATATTACAAGTTCATGGAAGTAACTAATAGTAATACGTATCTATTGGATCGAATATTAATAATAATAGCCTATAAGAATAGTACGAAAAATCGGTTGCTATTCCCAAACTCAATATTACGGAAATTGATCGATTGATATCGAGTCAAGTGATATCGATCGGTCCCAGTCATGAACATCGTAGATTACGATGCAATTTGAAATAACCTCAGCAACAATTTTACATTGGCCCCAATTGGGTTCAAAATTGGATCAATATGGGTCCTATATGAACATACACCGATGGACCAATATTAAGGTGCCTAGATTTTTCAATATTGGTCCTATATAGGTTTGATATTGACCTATATACGACCAATATACGGGCTACATTGGCTAACTAATGAGTATAAAATATCGGGTGAATCTGTCAGCTCTATAAAGGACAGATATTGGCTGTAAAATATCGAGTGAATTGGACAATTCTATATAAGGCCATATCGGAAAATTACGGCCCTTTGAATCCTTATCGAGCCTAGATTCGTGAATATTGGTCCAATATGGGCAAAAGTTATTTTGCTGCTAGGGAAACTGCTGGTACAGAACGGAAGCTGGCGAGCATAGCAAGCAACGTGTGAGAGCCCCCTGGTATTTATTTATGAATTTTTATTATTTTTTTTACAGCATTTATGATGACCTTAGAGACAAACGAGACTAACACACAAATGGGCCGAATGATCACACCCTACTTTGAACTTGAAGAAAAAATTCCAGGCTGTCTCAAAGTTGAATATTACTTTTCCGGTGATGGTGCAAAATCCTTCAATATTCAACAGGAAACAGAGTTTGGAATTCATCCTATTTACGTGAAAGGGCCTCACCAAACATATAACACATGGCAAAAATCTACTATAGATGTTGACATTGATGAATCCTTAAGGGTAAGGAAATACAAAATTTCTACAAAAATTGAAGGGTATGGGGCAATATAGTGATTCGCCACATTTTTTTTTAAAAGTTCACAATTTTTACACCAAACTATTTTTAGTATTGTTTTCGGAAAAATACTTTTTAAGGTTTAATATGGATATCGTTGTGCTGTTAATCGTAGTACCGTAGTACATCAAAGCTAATTAATGATTCCCGTTGCATACCTGATTTCAGCCATCAATGCTTTCTTACCGTACATGTCGTATACAGCTATCAAAGCTCTTTAAATAGTATGTATGCTGTCAGTCACCTCAGCTAAAAACTATTCTGAACTTTATAGTATTGAACAATACTGTTCATTTAAGTAGACAAGCTTTAGTGACATAAAATTCAAAACAGTATTTTACATAACGTGTTTAAGTGTAATTACATTTTTTCTACTTAAAAATTAAATATTTTTCTGCATCATCCCTCATATTATATTCATTCTACCAATAAAATAATTTCAAAAAATATATATAAGCTATATATTGTTGATAAGGGTTACTTAAGAAACGTTACGTGGCATTTTTTTTTTCCGTATGCTATTCAGTTGCCCGGAAAGTTCATGCTTAGTAGGCGGAACTCATAGAAGTTAGCCAAAAATATTCAAATGAGGGGAAACTACTCATCAAAGCAGTTTAAAGTTCTCTTAATTTAGCATCCTCTTACTTTTAAATAATATTCATCTGTTATTTATCAAATTTCTACGTGAGCAATAATTTTTCAAATCCTTCTGGTGATTAAGAAAATGTAATGATCCATCTTCGAAAACAAGAAGACAAAAATTCTTGTGTCATGAAACCCAATTTTGGGATGAGTATTGCTAAAACGATATGATGAAAAAGATATGATTTTTCACATTGAATATTTCAAAATAATTATGTGAGATCATATATTTCTAAGTTAGGAATGGCAACAACGGTTGCGTTTGTTTGGTTTGTAATATGTACAAAAATTTGAAGATCATCGATAAGAAATATACGTGAATGTACCAAGTTACGGGTAGGCTTATAATATCAATAAATCTTAGTTTTTGTTTGCTTTAAATAATTTATAAGTGTTAAATTAACTACCTAAGAAGTCAACGGAAGTGGTATGGTCTACATAAAGTTTTGTATAGTTTTTCGTGGATTAATATATATTCAATATTTTTTACGATTCTTATTTATAAAGTCTAGAGATTCCACTAAGAGACGATCGATCATTTAGGGCTACATAGCGAAAAGACCCACAGAACGGCTCCCGGTAAAGCACCGAAGTCAAGCATCATTGGCAGCGATGAGTGAGAGGATGGATGAACATTTTGATCAATCTGCGAAGGGACCGAGTGTGCGTGGTATCGAAGCTCTTCAAACTGTTTAATCATTCGCGCTTAAGTCGTCGGGCTGCAAAAGTGGAAGAGCCATCTTTTTTGTACACGGTATTCTCAGGGGTGCTTTCCAGACAATCGACATTAGCTCATTGTATGACTCAAGAGCGACGTGAATAAAATAGTAGTACTACTACTACTCTATAGCCTAAACAAATTAGAAACCACTGCTCTTAAATCTGGAAATTTAAAGCCTTGGCATAATTTGCGCTGTATTGTTGAATAACACTAAAATGAGATTTTCCCCCGAAAAGTCTCATTTGCTTAAAAAACACTTCACTTATAACCTAATACTTAATTTTAAAGTTCACAGATGATGCATACTGCTAAATCAGGTAAAATGTACCTAAAAGTTTAAAAATTTTATAAATTTTCAACCTGAAAAATTGTAAAAAATGTTCAGTTTATGCAAAGGTTTTTAAAGTTTTTGTGTTTATTGAAAAATAGTATGTATTTTAATATTACTTAACTATTTTAAATTTATTGTAATTTTAAATTATTTATTTTCAGTTCTTTTTCTCTGCAATTGTGGATCCATCACTTGGAGAATACACTGTTGCAATAAGATATGTGGAACTTTTGTTAACTAAATGCCCGTAAAAGAATCGAAGTTAATTAAACTATCTTCAGTTTTAAATTTATTTTCACATTTGATAATATATTTTTATAAATCACCAATTATAATAAATAAACTATTTATGAAAACTTCAGTTTGGTTAGTAAATTATTGTATTAATATTACTGGAGCATCTTGAACAATACAGATGTCAACTGCTTCCGATTCGACGACGGTAGAGAACTAGAAACTAAAATCGGCAGATTTTGGGTTAATATTGCAAACTTTTTATAAGCTCAACTTGACAAAACTAAAATAAAGTGGCGTATCACAAAAGCATTACGTATTGGTATATAAAATTTAAACAAAGATCACATAATTTAAACAATTGCATAAGTGGTCAGATTCAGCAGCGGGTTCGAATCCCGCTGTTACCCTCGATGTATCTTCGTGCTGTTTTTCTCTTTTCTGACTAGCTTTCATCCCTGATGATGCTATAGCTCTATTAGACAGGGAACTTAGTCCAACTTCACATGTTATAGAATTTGTAAAAAAATGTTTACGGTAATTGCATACCATCCAATTACTGTGTAATTTTTGCAGTTTCGGAAAATAATTTTGCCTGTGGTCGCAAAGGTAACGTCCTAATAATTTAATTAAATATAATTTAGAAAAATTTCCACTACCACATATAAATAATTTAAGCGTATGTATAAAAGATCAAATAGGCGAATGGTTACATTAAATGGAAAAAGGCCGCTAACGGCCCCAGGCGCCCAGATATACTTCGATGATGATGATGATAATGGTTATATTAAGTTCTTATAAAAGTTTTAAAATTTCTGTCTAAATTATAATTATTAAATAATTATTAATTAATATATTAAATCTGGCTAAATTGGGGGAAATATTTTGGAAAACATCTATTGTATTTTCCATACCCTCCAACTTAGTTTTGGGCAACATTTTAGCTAGTGGAACAAAAAGTAGCTCCAATGGAAGTTTTTCTATAGAGAAGAATTCTTTGAAGTCATGCAAAATCAGTTCCTGCTATATATATGATTGGAAAAAGTGAATCAGAATGGATGACGGCAGCAACATTATACGAATGTATTGCAAACTGCTTCTACCCATGGCTAATTGAAAATGCTATTAAATTCCTTATTTTGCTTCGTTTAGATGGGCTTAAATCTCGTATCAATTTGAAACTGAGCAAGTTTTGATCATCAAAACGAATTATCTGGTTTAGTTTTTTTTATCTAATACTACTAATGCACTCCAGCCTTGTGATGTAGGCGTATTTTGAGCTTTGAAAAGCTCCTTGGAAATCTTCCGTTAGAGCTTGAATACAAAAGAGTTGTAAAACAATATGTGGAGGGAATTTTACATCCATTTTGAAATAAGCTTTTGAGGCATCAATTGATGAAGTTAAAATTTAAAATACTTTTAAGAAATGTGATATTTTTCCATATGATGTTGAAAAGGTTAACTTTAACAAATGCATGCAAAACAGTCCTAAAGAGTTACTGAGCAAGAAAGCTTATCAACAAAAAACATACTTCTAGAGTAACGATGCACTTTTTCTCCAGAAGCTTGAGAATGAAACCTCTCAAGATATGTTGCAAATTTTTAAGGAAACATTGACAGAAGAATCTAATTCAATGGCCTGTGGTTTTCTCCAAATGGAAGAATCTATCGCAAAAAGAACATTTGGTTCAGTCAAACTTCGGCACAGAAGCTGAAACAATTAACATTGTTAATGAATGTATCTTGAAAACTGATTTTGAGATAAGACCTCTTGTTAGTTGGGGAAAAAAAACAATTGATTATATATTTAATCAGTCAGAAAATGGTAGGTATTGATATTAGTGAATGAGAGATGGATTTTACACAAACATCGAAACTCCTTTCTCCCGTATATTAGCCAGAGTGGAATTCTGGAAACTAGTGGGCTGCGCCAACTGCTCGTTAACGCTCGCCAACCCCCGAAAATTGCAACGCAATCTTATATGATTTGCTTTGTAAACCAAGCTCGCTTCGCTCGCTACTAACTTAGGTACGTTGCAAATGCACAAAATTCTAAGAATTCAAATCCATATAAAAACTTTTTTTTAAAACAAAAATTACATCTTTTTAGTAAATACTAAGTCATTAAAATAAATTTGAATTCAAATAAGCGAAATGTAATTAGTTAAACCTATTAGAAATGTGCTATAGTATAATTCGTGATATAAATCAAAAATCGTCAAATAAATTCGTAATATATAAATTCATGAAAAAAAGCGCTTTCGACAAAATACTAAAATAGAGATCTATCGACAAAGACTACTCACTTCTGCCTAGCTTAATAGTATGAGATTGCCGCAGCTGATGCTCTCTGGTTATTTCAGTTTCCGTTCTTAAAAGCGCTATATGTTGAGCCACCTCAACTAGATTTGGCATGTGACATTTTTAGCAGCAATCATTGGTCGATTCGCCGTGTAATAGAAGTAGTAACATAAACAAAACAAAGCAAACGTTGCCACCGGCGGAAAAGAATTACAGCCAAAATTTGGGAGCCACGTAAGAGAATTAATATATTAGATGTTACCGGAAAATTTCGAGAAATTTAGAAGAGCCATTTATATTGGCCAAGTAAAGAAATTGAAGGAGCTAAAAAAAAGTTAAAGCAAGAAAGTATGGCGAAGAGAAAAAAATAGTTAGAAAGATAAAAAAGAAAAAAGCATAAAAAATAAGGGCAAAAAGAGTAAACAAAAAGTGATAAAATAATAATAATAATAAAAACATCTTTGGATTACACAATGATAAACATTCATGATTTAGAATCGACTATGAAACAGTTAGAAAGACAATGAAAGACATTTTTTTATTCTGTATTCAACCCCACTACTTTCCGTTTTATGACTGAAAAAATTTAAGATTTTTCATGTTAAATGTGGTTATACGTTATAATTCCAAGAAACGTCTTGTTTTTAGTTATTTGTGTAACCTATGAAATCCTAAATAGCATCAAATATTCACAAATTAAGTGTTCATAAACTGGAAATTTAAAAATTTAGTGTTTATTCACTGGTACTAACTGTTCCTTCACTCGGTTATCTTATTAGTTATTATTTGAACCACCAAAAGCTTAAAACATTATTATGTAAGTTCCCTACAATTTTTTTTACATAATTTGTATTTACTAACAAATATGTTAACTCTCTCATTTAACTAAAATTGCCAATTTTGAAATTGTTATATTTTTTTAGACAAGTTAAGTCTAAGCGTTCTTTCACTGGTTAGTTAACCCCAGTTCAAAGAAATTATGACTTTGCGCTCAGCGACCATTTCAAATATGGTTTTCAAAAGTAAGAACTGGTAACAAAACTAGACAATTCTGTATGCCGCAGTAGTTTAAGACTTTAAATATTTATATTAGGACGCGAAGACATGTCTTATGGACTTTTTAAAGTTAAAGTGGTAGAAGATAAATAGTTTTCTATTTAATTTTAATATAAATATTCTGCCACTTTTTTTCAGTAAGTGTACTTTTGTACTTTTTACACACTGAAAAAAAGAAAAGAAAAATCTTTATTATTGTTTCAAATGACATTTGCCAACAGCAAGAAGCCGCTTTGTGAAACCAAGCGAGTTTACAGTTGATTTTGCTTTTCTTATTTTTCAGTGACGCCATCAATGACTAAGAACGCGACTTCAGCCACACACACGTCACAGCCCGATTTAGAGGGTCGACTCATTCATTCATCCATTTATTCACCCACATATCGTAATTTTGACCTAAACCAGAGAACGATCAATCTCTAATTCAGAACCCCCAGAGGTGTTGATTTTTTATGGGAACTCTGAGAACTTTGTAACCCGACAGATTTAGCGTGCACCAGTCACCATTTATTACACATAGAGTCTTCGGATGGCGGGGATCGAACACACGATATGGGCCCAATGCCTAACAACCAGGCCTCCCCGGCTCCAAAAGATCTTTAAAATGTGCAAAAATGTGTAGTTATGAAGCCTGTTATATGGACTAATATCTTCAAGGCAATACAAATTTGATGTAACTCTTATTATTAACCAATCTGTGCAATAAAAATGTTTTGTGATTTATATGAAAATTATAGTTGTCTAAAAAATAAAATATATATATATATATATACATATATGTGTTTGTTGAAACATTTTAGCTACATTAAATTTTTTCAGTAGACAAGATATTAATAACCTACCTAATATGAATTACATTTTTATAATTTATGAAGAAACAAACCGATTTTCGCATTGAGATGAAATTATAATTTATTCCGCACTATTTTTTTTCCTAACATTTTATCAATTACCAATTTATGATAGATTTATTAAAATAGTATAAAATAGTTTGTGAATCATAGTGCATTAATCCTATGCAATAAAGTTTTCAAATTAGAAAATAATATAATTTGCAAAATTTTTATAAAAATTATTCATATTTTTCTATCACCTAACTTATGCCCTCTATTACATTCACAATCAAATCTGGATTACATAACAATCAGATTAAATAAATTAACATATGTGTAAGTTCTCACCCCTATCTTTGTGACTCGATACTAAGTAACGGAATGATTAATAAAAACAATTAGACGACATTAAATTTTAAGGCTGAACTTACTCGATTTTTCATTCACGCAAAATGAAGACAGTAGTTGGAATTGCAATTATATTTCTGGCGTCACAATGGGCCGGTAAGAAAAATAAAAAATATTTATTTTTTGCGGTTTTTAGCATGAGAGACGCGACAAACAGTTTTCAGTAGACATGAAAATAAGCACTCGCCATATGGCGAGTTAATAAAGTTAAGTGGCGACTTAAATAAGCTACTTTTTCCCATTTTTTTGTGAAGATTATTTAATGATAAAAATACATCACTGTAGAAAGACTCTGGAAAACAAAATTTTCATTAAAATGCCCGATATCTCCATTCAAAATTTTGATCCATCAGAATCTATGAATTTGTGGTGGAAAGATTCATGTGGAAAGAAAGTTCCTTAACAATTCAAACGTTTCAAAGTTGTAATATATACTTTAAATATATTTTGCCTACCCCCAAAATTTTTAAAATTCTTTAAAGGCAGTATGTTTAACTAAATTTTGTCACATATTTATATTATTTATATT